TAGTTTATCCTGAAAATTAGATAATGGTGCTTCATATTGTTGAAAACTTTAATTTTAAAACTTTTTTAATCCAGCCTCTCATGCCCAAACGCGGGTCAAAACTAGTTTTGTTGGCAAATTAATGAGACGCCGTCCGCTTATGAAACTTTCTACTAAATTCCAAGAGAGGGTATCATTTTCTTTGAAGCTGACTTAATTCGTACCGAGAGAATTCTGTTCAGAAACAATAGGAGAGCAGATTTATTTTCTTATACAAATTACATTTAAATACAATGGGAAATTAATCGAGCATTTCAATCTTGTATTTCAAACGCTAAAATTGAATGTTCTCTCAGCGTGTAAATATATAATGGGAGAAGAAATCATGCATTGAAATAATCATATTCATTTATAGTTAAGGCTTCCTCAACAAACGATTACCTCCTATATAATCAAACAGCAAAAGAATATTGCTAGTTTTTTGCGCATGCAAACAAAAATGGTCACAAACCGTTTTTTAAGATTAAATTAACTTTCTGCACTTGTAGCTTCAGACATGCATGCGTCGCTATCAAGTGTGATCTCAGAGAGCAAATTTGCCTCTTTTTTCTCTTCTTCCCGAAATAGGATCAAGTGAAGTAAAAGATCAGATCCTCTCCTATGCACTGCAGCAATAACGCGCGATCCCAAGCCAAGAATATTCGGAATTCTTTGGCGGCGCAAAGGTCGTTCGCTGATCACTGATGGATTTTGGATGGGCTGCTAGCCGGCTTTTAGTGAGCCATTCCTGAACCATTGCTTGCGTATTAAGGACTCCACTTGGCTTTAAAGCTCCACCAACGATTACCATCTCATCTAGAACCTAATTCAGCAGAGGCAGCTCGTTATTTTACGTCAAATTAACGGCTTGGGGGGCACATTGCCAATAGATGAGTGATTGGAACTCTACTCGTAAGTGTCTTCTGATGAAGACCTCTGAGTCTTCAGAAACAGATTTGAATAATTATTGCTTATTAACGCGGATTCCTTTCTGATTAGCCAGAAGTGACTGGGCCAATAGACCGAAGAAAATTTTTTCGCCGAAGAATTAGTTGTCACGAAAAATTAGTATTTTATATATTAGTATATTAAAAAATTAGCAAAAATAAGTATATTATATATTATATTAGTTTTTACGTCAATAATATATTCGAGAATTACCACTTAATTCTATCTTGGTTAATACGGAAACGATTTTATTGAATATTGACGCTGTACATACTTCTAACAAAGTCATTAAAAAGAGCTCACGGAGACATTCCAAGTAAGTAATATTTCTCCGAATAAGGATAAGGATTCAGAGATACAACATTTCGTCCGGCAGTTCGAATAATTGATTAATCTCTATTAATTATTGCTTACAAAATTATCCTACGTCAGACCACGTATAAAAAAATTACTTAGATTTTTCTGTAAAGATTGTAAATCATTCTGTACAAGGTCCGATTGTAAGATTGTAAATCATTATGTACAAGTTAAGAAGTTTAATACTAGCAAATGAGAACTGTTGTTTCTTTTCATTGTAAATGACGGAAGATAATCTCCATCGCCAGAGGCTTAGCAGGTAATATACGTTTAAAAATGACTTTTTAAAGACAACACTTCCAAAGAATCCAGTGTCTCCAATCTTACAGATGTACAATGAATTTCTCATTTAATTTTCGAATATTAAAAAAATTAATTTTTCAATTTTTTAATATATAAATTTTTTAATATATAATTTTTTCAAAATTAGTTATTCTATTAATTGATTCATGCATTGCCTCTGACTTCACACAAGTGTACAAAATTTCAGATCAATTGGACAGGTAAAAGTGTGTCAAATATCAGTTATAAGATTTGGAGCTGACAAAATTATTTTTTCAATTTTTTTTTAATTTTGAAAAAAAAAATAATTTTTAAAATAATCTATTTTGAAATTTGTTTCATGCATTGTCTCCAATTTTACAAAAGTGTGCAAAATTTCAGATCGATAGGATAAGTCGAAGCGTATTAAATTTCTATTACAAGATTTGTAGCAGACAGACAGACAGACAGACAGACAGACAGACAGACAAACAAGAAGTGAAGTTAAAGAGAAGTGTTGTAAAAAGGAAGCTAAGCTCGCGGCAGGCCGGCAGTCATTTTGAGGAATCGGCATCGAAATTACGGGAACTAATTGATCAAGAGCAAGAAAAACTGTGATTCAAATCAAAGATTTTGTTGAGCCTGTAACATCGCACATTAGTATATATGATTGACAACAAGCCATGATTAAGGAAGTCTACGGAGGATATAGCTCCAAATTTACATTGCATGGAACCTGATATTTATTAATATTTTCTCCTCATACAAAGAGATAATATCGACTAATGTGCAAACGACAAAATTCGGAGGTGCTTCATAACTCGAACAAAAATAAAAAGCCGCGTTCATGCTTCCGAATATTGTAGGACTTGCACCAATAAATTGACTTGTTGCGGCGCATCAGCGGCTAAAGATATGAGACGGGGAAAACAAACAAAATAGTTCAAGATTTTTAACGAAAATGTGAAATCGTTACTTGACTTTTCAATAAAATAAAATAATATAAAATGGTGTAATTCGGCAGATTCCTTTCTTAATGCAAGTTTGATTGGAGACCAGAGCATGTTTTTTTATTAACAAACTTCATATTTGTTTTTTTCAATGAGTTAAACAAAATTTCTTGCTGGCGCCGGGAGATCAAAAAGCAGGTTACCAAATGGCGTTTTAATGGCATGAGACGTTTTGAATAAACAATATTCATTATTATGTAATTGAAGGTTTTGAAACACTTGAAGTTGAACTTGGGAAATGACAGTAGTAGAATCAAAGGTATTGTGGATATAGTTTGGAATTCATGCTTAAAATTACACTGAGAACAATTTCAGCGTCACCACGAATCCTTTACTTTGGAGGTTGATAGCTGGAAATAAATAAAGCTGGATAGCTTTAAATAAATAAGCATTATTTGAAAAAAAATGTTAAGAAATAATATTACGTAATGCAAGCCTAATGACCCTTTGAACAGCTTTTCTTGATCAAAGCACAAATCAAAGTTATTATAGAATTGCAACCTTCTTAAACATAGGAACCTGTGGCGGGAAATTTGGAACTGAGTCTTCGTAGAGTGCAATTTCTTAGACGGCTCCTAAAAAATAATGGCTGCTTTTAATTTCAAGTTTGTTTCGAGCAGAAAGTTTTTTCATTGTAAGTTCTTAGACTTGCAAAAGAGCTGCCAAATTTCAGAAGAGAAGTTAATTATTTAATTTCGTAGGCAACATGAGCAGGTTCGGGCTCAAACGGACGGGATTTAAGGGAGCAAAATTTAATTGTTCGCAAGTTGGGAGCTCCATTTAAATATACAAAACATGCAATTAATGCGTACAATGAGTGTGGTGTAAGAGGAATAAGAGTAAGAGTAAGAAAGTGCGGTATTAGAGAATTAGAGTGCTTTCTGTATAAAATTTTGGAAGATAAATGAGCTCGCGTATAATTTTGCAGGTGATTGTGTAGTATTATTACAAGAAGAAAATCTGAGAGTGATTTGCGCAAACAACAAATTATTTCTCGAATTCACATAAAATCGATTAAATTATATTTCTAATTAAAAATTTTCACATCCCTATTCTTTACCGGAGACTTATAAGCTTACTTCTTGAATTTTACAGCCAAGAACAAAATAAGCGAGCCCAGTGCCTCAGGCTCGGATCCTCAACCGGCAGTACGTAATAATTTGAATTGGCTTGGTTGGTGCTCTGAGTTTAGGTCGTGAAATATCGGTCTGTGCCTTGCCTTCGCGCAGTATGGTTCTATGAAACTTTTAGTATGTATAATGCGTTCGCAGAAGTTCTTACTTAGTGTTTAAATAACTTTGTTAATATTATTTAATTAATCAAACGAGCGAGGCACGTGGTGAAACTGGTTCATTGTAGGGTATTGAAGTCGTGGTCATGTGCGTAGGGTGCTCAATAGTTCCCGTTGACTTTCTTACTGGCCCATGGCTATGCTTGGAAGATTGTGTTAACATGTATACTCGAATTCAATCAGTCAAAAGCCGTTAGCGGGACAAAATAAAGTTAGTAAGATGTGTATTCCAATTCGTGCGAAGGACCTTTAACATGAAAATTGTACGGTAGCAACGTTAACTCTGGTAGCTGGTTAAGTCACGTTCAGAACATTCTTAATACGGAGGGCTAAGAATCAGTAAAATAAATAACTTCTTGAAATGTCATTGTCATTTACTAGATATCTTGATTACGTTGACCAGCCTGGGGCCATACTTTCAAAACTCGCTAAGTGAACGTAAGTACTTACGCTCTATTTTCTTGTCTAAGATTGGTGGATTTTGCTTTAAAGGTCGCCAATGATTGGCTGATGAACTTACGATCTCTTAACTTTTTTTGAAAGTATAGGCCCCGAGACATTACTACTACCACGTTGAATTTATTTTGACGATTAAATTGTTGAACTTGGAAGTGCCAACCATAGTTGTGCATGCGGCCCAACTACTTACAGGTATGGTCCACGCATTGCGACAACACTTCAGTAATCTTAACCAGCGCGTGGTGTTTTGCCTACTTCCACTTGTCACTGCGTGTCGTACCCATAGCTTCGTTGGAATTAATTGCAGAGTTAGTGTTGATATCTTCGACATATTGGGGCATAGGTGTACGGGGAAAGTGTTTGGACGTATTCTGCACGGTCTTGATTCAGGAGTAGGAGAACTAACTGCAGGGGAAGTTGCTAACTTTTGCCCGTGTCACAATTGGCGGGTTTTCCAGATTAGTATTAAACCTGTTGACTTCATTACTGATGATTCTGATAGGAAGTAACTAATTTCATGCAAATTATCAATGCCTCTTTTCCTCTGCAATAAATAATCAACCTTATGTATTGGTTCTTGCTTTGATAGCGTACTATCGCTTTATTCATTTTTTAGAGCCAAAAATATAGTTAAGCCCGTTACACATCCCATAGCCTGCGGGTCTTCAGAAAGAAGTGAGTAGATTTCTGGTTATAGTGACGACATAATTAATTTAATTGTTGTTAATGCCCACACTACGGTAAACGATCGCTTGAGTAGCTTTAGTAAAACTTCGATGGCTCAACTCGACGAATCGGTTATTTTCATGTATAACAGCTTTATTGGCTATTGCACTCCCGGCGTTGAAGCTTGATTAGTGCCCTAATAGGTCTACCGTATATTGCGGAATATGCCCGAATCGTCGATGCATTTGTCTGCAGATCACGACAGGAGCCGCACGAATAGGCGTGTGCACGAATTCTGATCTTCGTTGTAAAACTTGTGGAATTGTGAAATGAATTTCATAAATTTGTGAAATAAAATAATTAGACGCAATCGGATGTTCGTGATTTTTTATGCTACGTACATGGCGCGGTAGGGTTTTACCTACCGCGCCAGTATGCACTTCGTGGCATTGCTGTGGCGAGGCTTTGGTCTGCTGTGCGGCAGGCAGTGGCGAGGCAGTGGTCTGCTGTGTAGGCTGTGCGGCAGGCAGTGGCGAGGCAGTGGTCTGCTGTGTAGGCTGTGCGGCAGGCAGTGGTCTGCTGTGTAGGCTNGCGACAGGCTGTGGCGAGGCAGTGGTCTGCTGTGTTCGCTGTGCGACAGGCTGTGGCAAGGCAGTGGTCTGCTGTGTTCTGTGTGGTAGGCTGTGGCGAGGCAGTGGCCTGCTGTGTAGGCTGTGCGGCAGGCTGTGGCAAGGCAGTGGTCTGCTGTGTTCTGTGTGGTAGGCTGTGGTAAGGTAGTTACTTGATGTTCGTTTTCAGTCGTCAATCGATCTTCAGAATAACCGATTTTCGCTAGGAAATATTTGAGGTCATTGAATTTGTTTTAAACAAAAGTGTTGGGCTAGAATCGCGCCCACGAAGACGGGTCTCGTTTATCCGCCTTATCCTCAACAAAGTTGTGCTGGAAATGAAGACTATCGCTGGCAGCAATACCATAAAAATTTTGTTTTTAGAGCATTATAAAAGGAAGGTCTGGATAGTAAAATAAGCGAGGTCTCGCAGTGTGAAAAGTTGATTATATATCAATACTGTGCAGTAAAGTGTTTGTGCCTTGTTCACCCATTGTCCATACATTGAAATGACGAAATTTAGAGTTAACATTGTGGAGAGTAGAACTGTGTTTTTGCAATTACCGTGCGTTACGAAAAGTTTTCAATGAAATGCTAAGTAGGAAGGAAATGAATTGGTTGAGTTTTTATTCGCTTGTTGACACTCGTTTAGATTTTTTGTTGTAGTATGCGAATTTTTATAACAGTTTGCGGCAGAATTCAGCAGCATGTCGGATAATAATTTAATTTCATTTTTGCATTACAGTGGCTGCTTATCGAGGTCAGGAGAACAAGAACTATTTTAATGCAAATGCTGCTGAATTCTGCCTCAAATCACGCCCGCCTCATGTCACTGGAGACATGCTACGTTTCTTTGACCAAAAGTCAGCAAATTTCAACTTGAGAAACCCTCTTGGGCTTCAGTACAATCACGAAGCTCGCTATGTGACGCAACAAACTAATTGGATTTCCAACCGAAACCCATGGAACTTGAACCATGTTTCGCCACACGGCTTAGATTGGCAGCAAAATGTTCCAATGTATCGTAACGCAAATTACCCAACAAGGTTTGGACAGGATGGTAAGCCAAGCCTTTTCGGAATGCATCCATTAGACCATAGTAATGAAAAAAATCAATCAAAGCAGTTCAATTTCAATCAGAATAAAGCGGGGAAATTCACTGGTAACCAGTTCCCGGTACTGGACGTGTCAGACAGCGACAAGGCAAGGGAAATGTCGTTTCTGTATAAATGGACGTTTGAAAACCCAATCTCGACCATGTCGCCTCTCGTCCAGTCCCGAGCACTTCACCAGCCCAACGCTAATCGCGATACGACTGTCCCGGCCTTCTCTAATGAGCCTAGTCTCTATTTCGCCGGCCAAACCGACATCAGGAGTCGACCGTCGTTTAGTAACCAGACTACTTTCAACACTCAGCAGCAGAAGCCGCAAACGCATCAAAACAAGACCAATGATAACTGTTCCTCGATCATATCACTGGATCGTCAAACAAGCAGAAAACCTCGTGTTGATGCACCTCTTCAATCTTCCATAAAAGCTCCTCATGGTGAAGAATCTTTCTCGGAAACTCATGAGGACTTGAAGGCTGTCATTGTCCACTTCATAGGAAGCGATACCCAAGCCAGGAACGCGGAGAAAAATTTTTCCATAGTGTGCAAAGATGGTGTTGTGCAGGCTAATCGTGACGTACTCACAACTAATAGCAGTGTTTTCTTCAACAGCATCAAGAAAGATTCAAATACTCTGACCCTGGAACACGTTGAAGCCCATTCTATGAAGTTAATAGTATCTCTGATTACTACAGGGAGAGTAGTGGTTCTTCAAAAACGGCTGAAATCCTTCATGAAGAAAGTCGGCTCTTTCAAAATCTTGGGAGTTTTTTCATCTGAAGAGATCGAAAGAGAATATTTCGAATTTTCAGACTTAAGCACAACAAATTTGAGTGAGCAAGATATCTCCATTGATACTTTTAAGGTTGATATTCCTCAGCCTCTCGGACTAGAGGCGAAAGTGCGATGCCTGGTGTGTAGAAACGTCCTTCTCAAAACTACGTTTCATGGGCACTTTGAAGAATACCATGCTGTCCTTCAAGAAAATTTGACATGTTGTAATTCAATTTTTTCAACTCGCTACGATTTTATAACTCACGAAAAAATGTCGTGCCGTAAGTTGAGTAACCATCAAACAGATTTTCCCGACACATCCGGCATTTCTATGAATTTGAAGGCTGAAAGGTCGGGCATTAATTCTCACTCCACTCCAATAAAGCACATGGAAGAGCGGGGCGGCTTCACTTCGCACGCGTGATCAGGATTTCAAAAAGCAAACTCTCTTTCCAATGGCCGCCCAACTTTATATAATAAGAAATAAAATAGATGTCCAATATATTAGAAGCTATATATTAAGTTTCGCATTGTGATTTGCAAGTCTTAAGCTAACGCCCTAAGTAATGATGCATTTTTCCTGCATGATATAAATTTAAATCGATTACCGTTATTTAATTTTAAGGTCAGAACTCTGAAGACTGATCTGAAATCCTGATAGTGAGTGTAGAAGTCTTAATTAGAATAAAATTATCTGCAATGATTTGCGAAAAAAAGTTTCATCCTTATGGTCTCTTTGCGAGGCGAATTTCCCGTCATTTGAAACTTGAATATTCCTTCCGGAATCGTTTGCCAGAGAGCGACGACACGCGATATAGAGGAAGGGATTTGACTTTTTTACAAAAGCATTTTAAAGGGTGCGAGAAAGAAGATATAATTTTGTAATGGGTAATTTGTGCAGGGTAGAGTTCTCCCCTGGATAGTTCCTGAACATAAATTTTTCTATTGTGGACGTTAAAAATTTCTATACATGAGCAAATTTGCAACTTATGTTTAGCAAGGAAACGTGCCCCAGAAGTTTGGATTTTACCGCTTTTCCACCATCCAATTATTAAAATTGCATTTGAATTTAGCATGTAAACCTGAATTATTTGAAATTTATGAATGTAGAACTGCATGAAAATGCCAAGAAACCCTGTCTGGAATTCAGCGTACCTATGTCATGTGAATGATGCATATACATGTGTAATTTTAACTTGTTATGGATAGCGGGTGAACGTCGGTAGGATTCCTAACTGGCAGCTGTTGGCAGTGTGTAGGGGATAATTAGTTTCCTGGGCCTAGGGTTGCTCGCTAACTTCAGTTGAACGACTGACGGTTGAGGCATGTCTTCTCGGCCTTTTCCGTTAGACTTGTCAGCATTATGTTCGAAGAGCAACATTTGTTTTTTGGTCAGTCAGAAGGTACCATCGCTTTATTAGTTAAGTATTATTATGAATTAAAGGTCAAGTTGAACTCGATAAATATTGCGAGAGAAAAGCTGTACTTCTCGGTATGTGTAGCTGAGGAAACGTTGAATCGACTAAATTTCTTGGACTAGATTTCTATTTCTATTGAGAATTCCTCTGAATTGAAGATGAAAAAGTCTTGATGGAGATTATAGTTGAACCCAGATGCTTTTTCTTGACAGATTGACGTTAGTAATAATGTCGGTGCATGGTTCTGGAGGTCGCAGGACGGTATTGGGATCTTGCAATAGACCCACATACGCTTCCATCTTGTCCAGACAGAGTGGGAAATTTGACGATAGTCGTTTCGAACCTCAACTCTTTAGCTCAAACAAATTTGTAGAACCTTCCGAACTGTGTTCTGATGCTAACACTGACTTTGGGAAAAGAAAAGATGCTCCTCAAGAACATACGAATGCGAAGAACGTTCCCTCGAAAACTGAATCTTCTGTAAACGAATGTACGTATACAAACAGGAGTGCCACTGAAGACACAGCGGCTGGAATCCGTAACTCAGCGCTGTCTACGGATGGTGGAACAAAAAATTCAAACAAAAGGAATGGAGATGGTTGTCGAACCAAAGATTTCGAAGCTGTCGTTTCTGAAGAAAATGAAGCTAATCTGCGGGATATACACAGCACATCTCAGGAAACCGGTGAGAAGAAAATGAAGCTGGATCTCGGCGAAGAACTCGACAATCGCCAGATGAAATCGGATGCAGAAATCGAAGTTGATATTGATTCCAGACTTGGCAAAATAGAACCCGATCTAAAGCAAAACGTTGTGAACAAAGTTAGTGTGAATGATAAAACTGAACCTCCTACGAATATCGGTAGAGCGAAGGAAAACCTACAAGATGACAAAATCGAAGAAAGCAGACGAGGTCAGATCGTTGACAACGATGGCTGGCAGCAGACTCGCAAGAATAGCGCCAGGCGACACAAGAACGATGGCCGAACACAGTATTCGAAGTCCGGTGACAACCGTATGGAGGCTTCACAGCCAAACAGGTATTTTTCATTCCGTGACGTCTGTTCTAACTTTATGCTTCTTTTTAGCCAGTTCTTTTCAGTGATGAATTAATAGAATTTCTTTTTCTGTTCCATAATATATTGATAGTGGTTGAGCATATCGTTTTCACATAAAATGTTATCCTGCCACAAGAAGGTACCCTTTGAGAAGCAACTGGGTGCATCGATTTGAAACTTTATACTTAGGTGCGTTTATTTACAAGATGCGAGCGAAAATATTGACATCCCAGTTGAAATACAATATATTTGAATCCTATTAATTTCTTCAATATTGCAAAAATTCATGAAATGAATTTGAATTGAATGCAGGGTAGATATTAATGTTATTTCAAAGATTGACTCCACTCTACTTGTTTCATCACTATAATGTATTTTCGTTGCCTTTTCGCTCGAAGGGGAGGTTATCAAGATGCTCGTGGGTACTCGCGCAATGACGCTCAACGCTACGGTTACAGAGGCCGTGGTGTGCGCGGTGACGCTCGACGACAGACCACGGTCTTCTACCCCTCTAACAGAGGCACTAGCAGACAAAACAGAGGACAGAATGTATCAGGAGGGAGGTCGTTTAACGAAAGGGATTTTCTTTCCAAAGACCGTTCGATGGAAAAAGGTCAGGTTCGTGCAACAAAAACGAACGTTTCTCCGAAACCTGATTCACCACCTGTCGTATATTCGAAGGAAGTGGTTGCTTGGGACAAGACAGCGTGTAGACAAGAGGTACAAAATACACCCACTATCACTGCTGCTGCAACCATTATCAGAAGACCAGACCTAACTCCACCTCCACCGCCATCAAGCGGGACGTATTCTTACAGGGATGTGCTGGCTAAAGGACTCAAATCTCCAATAACATCGGCTGGTAACTCTTCAGGAGTACGAAACACGGGGATAGTGTATTCCGTCTCCCCCCTGCCTTGTCGAATTGGAAAAGATACCAACGAGTCCACAATGAGCGCAAAAGAAAGTGAAACCGCGAAAGAAAATCAAACTTCATATTCGCCTCATGACTCTTTTCCGAATGAAACAGAGAGCAATTTTGAACACGTAGGCACGAATGAACTCGAAAATGCGGAGGACAGAAATCGTGATCATAATTCAAAGCACTACTACGGTGACGATCTTTACCTTGCGAGCATTACTGAAGAATGTGGGACTGGTTCGAAATCATTTAATGAATCATTCGTTGAGACCGAAGTTGCTACTAAGTTTGCTACGCACGAAAAAGACATCCAAAATATGGATGTCTTTTTCGGTGATAGGAGCAAAAACTACTCGAGCGAGAAGACACCTGTGAACGAGCCTAGTATATCACCAACGCATCAAGAATACCCCAGGGAGAAAAAATCTGAAAAAGAACTTGAACCAAACACTGCCAGCTCGCATGAATTATTTCAAACGTTGCCAGGTGATTTGAGGGGGCAATCGAGTCGTAAAGAAGCGGCTGTAATTACGGCAAGAGTTGATGTAATGTGCGTCAGATCTGCCGGTACGTCTGAGAAACCAAGTGACTCTGAATTTTCGGTGCAGGATTGGAACGGAAAAAATCAGTTCAATGATGCAACACATGCATGGGCTATCGGCGGTAAGTCAACTGATGAAGTGAACAACAATTCAATCCATCTTAATTTGATGAAAAAATCTGGGGGTGACGAATCGCCTTCAGTACACATCAAATTTAAGGCCAATGCCGAAATCACGGATGACGTCACAAATGTTCGTGAAGACATAATGAAGATGTGTCCTCCGCAAGATAGCCCTCAGCTTCTGTGCTCGGAAACGGACAACGGCCTCACTGTCAGGGCTGAAACTTCAGCTCCACCGCCCACGCCAACCAGATCGGCAGGTCTAGAAGTAGACAGCTTGCAGGAAGGACTGTCTCGCCAGTCGTATAACGTGATTGCCTCTGTGGCAAAAGAGCTGGAAAGCCATGCTATGAAGTGGCAGGAAACTGGCGCGATAGAAAGTGAAACTCTCTCTGCATTCTCTACAGTTGCCACTAGCAGGCATAACGTCTCAAATGACTACTTGATGGAAGGAAATGTCGATACGGGAACATCCTCAGATTACGTGAAGTTTGAATCTCCTCAAGGAAAAAAAATTGTGCAACCGAATGACCTCTCGCAAGAGCGCTACAGTTCTGATCGGTACAGTAGCGAGCGTAGTGTAAAATCGACAACCGAGAACGTGACGGAAATAGAGACGGCCAAAATTGAAACGCAAGAGGAGAGCCCAACAGTAGGTTCTTTCGAGCACAAACCTGTCTTCCATCATGATCCGAATAACCAAGAAGAAGTTACTGCATTTGAAGTTCAGCCTGCGAGAAATGCAATTGTATTTTTTCCAGACGAATCACAGAGCTGGATGGTTACAACAGGAGGCCAGGCATTACCCCAAGCTTTACCTCAGCGAAGTGGGTTTGAGCTTCGCCGCAGAAATGAAACGCCAGCGCGCTGTATGCAAGAATTCGCAATACAGGAAATGGCGCGCCAGAATGATAAAGAGACAATCGCCTCGAAAGAAGAACCGAAAGCAAATTTTGAGGAGCCACTTGGAACAGACTCGACCATAAAACGATCTGAATCTGAGCCGATGCCACCTTGGCCTGTTGTGAGCAGCTGCACGAGCTCAGTTACGTACTCGAGCGCAACAGATTTGGTAGCCTCGCCACTTTCGGAAAAAGTTGGTCATTCAGTGGTATCAACAAGTGCTTCAGCAACAAACACTTCTGCCATCTGGTCCGAACTTGGCCAGTCCACTGAGCCAAATCCCACCAGCCTGGATCGTGACCAGCCTGAAGCTTCCCTAAAAATGATTTTGGAAAACGAGGCAACCACTATCCTCAAAACGACAAACTCTTACTGCACCAGAGGCGACCATCAATCAGAAACCGTGCCTTCAGCCAATTCCAACGAATCGATGGTTGCCGCAGCCTCAACTCCTTTCATGTCCTCAATTGTACCCACAGTACCGGAAATGACTATGATTACAGAAAGTACACAAGCTATTTTGGTACAGAATGATCTTTCAGAAAGTCGAAATATACCTTTAAAAATGAAAATTGAGTCATCTAGAACTTCCAATTTGGCTGAACTGGACTCCTCAAAGCCTGCTCAGATCTGTGTGCCTGTCGTTCAACCTTCCGTTGAGTCGCGCCAAAATCACAATTCATTTGTGATGCCGACTAATGCTGCGCACACTCCTCCTACAAAGGTAATTAGTATGCCTGATGTTGATACTGATATCGACCTTACAAATGATTTTGAAAGGTATATTATCCTTTTTTGAGCTTATTAAATCCAAAATAGTTGTCATGGTCAAAGTGAATGCTGTTATTTTTACCCAATGAATTGCTCACAGGGAAAGTGATAGATCGGACTTGCTGCTTTCAACGAAAAGTACCTTGCATGCGGCAAATCGTTCAAAAATTCAGTACATGATGACACTTGTGCAAGATTTAATTGTTCATGAACTGAATTTTTTAAATCCAGGATTGAATTGCTCAATTAAATCTTGAACATCGTTGAAGAGTTAAAAAGCATAAAAAGTTTTTACAGCGGGAAGAATATTTCGTTATCTCCTTCGGTTATACAATAGTGTTCGCAAAAAATTGTTAAAATATTAGATTTTAGATGAATTTAAAAAATTGATTTTTGAGGATTTTCTTGATTTGGCTGCCCTACTGATAGTGATGTCATCATATTTAAAATCTGTCCTATTTCAGATAAACGCGCCGGCGTTTGTTAAAATGGACGCAACTGCTCTTTCGAAGGTGCCGCCACCAGTCAATCTTCCACTGCAGCTACCTAACTACGTTCAGTCTCATCCTCCCCCAACCGCTCTTCAGTACCCACATCCCTATGATCCTCGTTGGTCTAGGAACTACCCTCTAGAAATGAATCAAACCGAATGGCTAAATATTAACAGATATCCAAATCCAGATAGAGATTTCAGTCGTCCTCCCCCTCCTCTGCCTCCCATGCACCCTGTTCCTCAAAGCATGAATTTTTTCAACTATCCTTCGCCCATGCAAGCTCATAAAGATAACCTGTTCCCCAATTACAATTACCCAACTTCGCCTTTCCAAGCAGCTGGTTATAGACTTCAACCTCTACCGGCATTCGTGCAACGTCCACCCCCGCCCTTGCCATCTGAATTTAATTCTGGACTGTACAATAGAACTTTGGAAACTCGTAACTCCTTGCCGCATCGTTTTTCTGCAGATTTCAGGGGTCAAAATCAGTTGGTCATGTCCCAAAAGCCGTATGAGGGTAACCACGGACGCTTCTCGTCGCCATTAAATCAGAACTATCGCGACGACTCAAATTACAATAATCCTCCGAACTACCGAGCATCGACGGGTGTAGCAAATCAATCCGAACATCGCATGCCGTCGCAGCGCAATATGAATCGTTCTAATCAGCCTCAGGACACAACGCTGGGTGATTTTCTCCCCAGAAGCTTGGATTCTTCCAAACCAGAGAAGATCACTAATGAAGTGGGGCTCCAGTTTCCGTGGAAAAAGACTAACGAAAGGAAAAATTACGGCTATGGCAGAAAGAATTACAAGGTTGACCACAAGGAGGAAAATTATACTCATTTGATGAATCAAGAGATGATAAAGGATCAAGATCGATGCGGAGATTCACGTAGAAAAAATGTTGTGAAAGGAACCTGTAATCTCCATGAAGAGCTACCCGGTAAAAATAAACAAGCAATACACGAAGTTAAAAATGTACTGGGTCTCAACGAGGCGGAAAAGCTCGAAGTGGACAGGGAATTGTACGGTGGTGTTCCTCGTGGTTATCACGATAGGTACAGTTTCTCCATGCAACACCAACAGAATGATGACGTCTTGATGAATCACATGATGCCGAGTATGATGCCTCCCGTAGAACTTAACACAAGCCCAATGGTTAATGCCTATGGCGACATTGATGGAAAGGAACACGCGGTAGAGAGGCTAGTTTCAGGTACACTAGTTTCTGATTATTCTAACTCAGATAGGATGACATGTGACGAGTCTCAGCTGAGCCACGTTAGTGCCTTGGCGTGTGATAACATTCAAGATTTTTGCACTGGGGGCTGGAAGTACTACAATGACGCCATATCCTCGCCTTCTGGATTACGCATTCATCAGAGCACCTATGTGCCTTACGTGAATCCATGCGGCCCCGTCCCGCCTGCTTATCTCTCGACGGATGTAAGGGCCAGGGTCCAGTGGCTAGGCTTCCCTAAAGCCCATGAGGCGTACTCGGCCAGGATCAATTCGCAACGTTCGCTGCGTATGGACGTCACCGTGGTTTGCAGTAAAGGCAGTGCCGTTTGCTGCAACAGTGAAATTCTAGGGAATTGCAGCAACTACTTCTATGAACGGCTCGTTGGACGCAGTGAGGAGTACATCACTATCTTCGTGAACATTCCATCAAAGATTATGAAACACTTTCTGCAAATGATGTCATGCGGAGAGGCATTCGTACCAATGAATGATGTCAACGACGTCATTTTGAGAGCACCTGTTTATCTGAATTTGAACCTGTAAACTTCTTATTTTTGACATGATAACCTTCAGTTTGGGTTCATATGAAACAAGGAGTAAACTAAGCAATAATTCAAGAAGAGAACCTTATTTATCTTTCTTCCTCCCTATTAACCTGTCTAACAATACTTAAATTATCAAGTATTTAAAGGTTAAAAAAGAAAAGTATTTAGTGCAATAGAAGGCGTTCGGGCTCGGAAGCTCTGAGTCGGTGCATTTCATCGAGGTTTAGTTCACATAAATAACGATGAAATTTAGTAAGAAATTGCTCTTTGTATTAATTCTTCCTTGCCTTGCTTCTTCATGACCTTGAGTGTTTTCGTTCGATTTGTATGTTCGTAGATTAGAGTTTGAAGTTCTGCTTTTGTGAATACGCTACGTTAAAACTCAAATCTTAGAAGTTGTTGACTCTCTTTAGCTCATATCTTGATGAGTGGCTTTGAGCGAATTTCAAGGTTAGCTAATACGTGTCTATGTACTGTAAACCAGTATTAGGAAAGTCATCATCAATAAAGCTTGGAGAGTGAATCAATTTTTCTTTTATGTCCCATCAAACGTATAATCCTTATTTTCACGCCTTTGCGAAGGCCTGAATACTGGTGATCAATTCTATTATAGTCACAGAAAAGAGTTCAAGTTAACGCGCAATCGAAACGCTCTCCTGTGGACTGGAGGAAAACCTGCCTGAAACGATGGAGTTTTGCTTGGTCATTCCTTCAAGCTAAGAGAATATTTTGCTCTCTACGATGTACACTGTACAGGCAGACCATACTATGAAGCGGTATCTATTTTTTTCTGCCCTTGAACTAAGGTTCGGGTACCATCAGTCTCTCATGACCTTCGATCCTTCTTGCAATTGGCGGTAATCCTTCAATCGATGAGCCTCTGTTACCTGATCGGTAGAGTAGACCCCCACAATGCTGTATTTATCGGGTTAATTGAGTTCAGAGATCCTTCATCGGATTAAAATCCGCTTGTTAGGTTAGTTGCACTCGTATTTTTTAGTTCATCAAAATATCGTGCGCTGCGACACGTCCTAAAGGCGTACCGATCCTAACAGGAATCTAAATACGATGGGATTCCACGGCTAGAAGCTGAGGAATTCGAATTGCCTATTGCTCAAATTATCTTTGATGTGAATTTTCTACATTAGTGCGCGAATAACTAAATGCAATTGTCGAAACGGTGGATATATATGAATTTTTAGCTATACAGGTGGTTATTCTTAGTGGCAATAAAAAATGGCGATGGTAACTACTATTTAGATGTGAATAGAAGTGTTACTACTTGGGCTATTGATGGACCAAAGCCTGTCTTCTAAGACGTTGGAGTTTTTTAAGTCAGCATTAATGGTGAAAGAGGACGCGTAAGTTCTCGTGAAATGCGAGGAATTCCTTTGATATATATACAAGTCGTGTGAGAATGACGGATAATATCCTTGCATAAACATTCTGATTTGTTATGCCGGAAGGAAAATACGAACTGCGATCGCTATGTCGTACTTCTTAAGGCAAAATAAATTTGCTCCAAAAGGCTCTGGTGCGAAGAATGTTTCTTTTAAAAACGGTTGAGAACCGCTGGCTGTATAAAGATGAAAATGTTCATCAATAAACTATTTCAGTAACCGTTCATGAATTTTTGCGTGAAATAAAGAGAACAATTTTTCCAATAGAATGGCCTGTAGAAATATAATACACAGCACGGAAAAAGAAGGGGACCTCGCGAGCACTCGGGGTCCGATGAAAGCTCCTGTTGGCCAGGCCTTACTTACGGCAACGGAATTTTCGTACGCGATTTCTTGCCTTCACCACGCACACACGCAATCCTTATACGCGAAATGAGCTGACAAATTTTCCCTGCCTACTAAGTTATTGTGGAGAAAATTGGGATTTAAATCGTAGTTTCCGTCTTAGCATTGTATTAGCGGCCAGCATGCATGAGTGAAATACGCGAAAGAAATGTTCAAGTAACCAAATTTGGAGCATTTTTCAAGCGGCAGTGAACAACGACCTATTAATATTACAAACCCAAGTACTGAACTAAGTTTTATTGCACTAATTGATTTATTTATTTCATTCACAGGTTGAATCCTTTGCTCAATTTACTTCTAAAAGGAATCCCAATTATTTTGCAGGTAATCTTCTCATCAATTGCTTGCCCGCATGTTTACGTAACAATAATACAAAGCATGAAATATTTACTTACTTAAATGCTGTTTTTACAATTTAAACAACATGAAATGCCCAACCATGTTCTATTGAAACCTCTACGTAATGGTTTCCTGTGGTATATCCATTTAGGAATAAATATAAATTTGCTATATTGATCATTTCAACTGAAAAGAGAAACGAGGCAAGCTTGTGACCGGACTTTATACAACGAAAAAGTTATGTTGTTCAAGAATTTGATTATTCGATGAACGATGTGCAACAACGGCATGTGTGAGATGCACATTCAGGCAGATTATCTTCCCGAGGCGATAGACCTGTTCGTTCTACTTTTCAATGTATTTTGTGTAAAGACTGATGCTTAAATAAAATGGACCATGCTTAGAGAACAAGACCAAAAGACGCGTACTGACCGCTTTTTGCACTATACCATCGATAGCAGTAATGTCCAATAGCAATTATCCAATACTAAACGCGCAGAGCGATGACCCCTACCGTCGATCCTTGCTGATTCAACTAATGAAAATTTCAGTCGATCCTTCCTGATTCAACTAGTACCTGCCGCCTGCAATTTCAGACGAATGATCTCAAAAATTGCTAGATTTAGCAGAATTTTTATTGTAACCTGCTCGTTACAACAAAATGGTAAAATTCGCATTATGACCTTCATTTAATTGGATAAATATTCAAATTTTGCCTTTAGAAACGGATTTTCTCCAAGTAAAAGCTGGAAAACGCGAATGAATATTTTATCGACTTTTTCATCCATTTTTGGAAAAATGTTTTCACTTCATATGGCTAGCTTTCATGTTTATAGCTTTTTTTCACACAAAAAATTTCGGTGTTCGTCAGGCTGGCGACTTTAAGTTTAATTTTTAGCAGTTTAATGACATGGTATGGACTGAAGGCGCCAGTGCAATGAGTCATTTGTGTTCTGGTATATGATGTTTCTCAGTAGGCCTGGAGTTGGAGAGAGCGCTAATGTTTTCCATGGCATCCTCTCAGGCTTTGCTAATAGAAGCATCTTGAGATACCTCCCAAAAGAATATTGGATCTCCCCTAGGAAAAAAGCTCGTATTTCAAAATAAAAACTCCCGATGCTGACACCCGTCTCAGCTTCACCAAATATGGACAGACTTCAAAGGACGGACTTCAGAGAGCGAGATGCATTACGCTCTTAGCTCCTTGAACATTTTGCCGGCAGCGGTTTACCAGATGCGCGGATTGAGCTCAACTTGCCTTCCTGTCTTCATAAACTGTTTAAACCTTGTATAATTTTTATCTCAATTCAAGACACACAAACGTTCTTTCCTCTGGGTTTTATTGCAATCAACGCTTCGCCAAGTGTTAGATCATTTAAGCATACATACCTGATCATACTTCTACTTAAAATTGGACAAAAATGTACAATGCAAGCAAAAAACAGAGAAGAAGTAGTATGAAACGCCGGCGGAGATAAATAATTATATCTCGCGTATAATTACTTGCAGGGAAGTTGCGGTTTTTTCTGAGAAACAACTCATAATCTTGCGGATGATATGGAGTGACTATATGAACAGAGATCAATATAGAGATGTGTGCCGGTTGTACGTCAGCGTAGGCAACAGGTCACATGTAGTACGTCTCGTTAGAGAACAGCGCCACTCTAAATAATGCATTTATCGGATTTATTTCAGATGATATTTAAAGCCGATCGAAATCGTTAGAACAAACATAGGATCTATTTTAACAAAATTCTCGGCCGAAACTAAAATGACAGTGCACAAATTTCCTGATAAATTGTGATGAATGCAGTTTAATTACAGAATTAGTTTATTGCGTAATAATTCCCATTTACTTTAAGCCATAACTGAACTAAGTGTCATGCAATCTTTCTTTTCCGTTAAAGGATGCAGCAACAATCACGAAATTGAACACGGCAACTTCGAAAAGACTGTCTGTTCTCTCTACGCTTCCGGTTGCATCGACCACTAGTTACTCTCATATTTTATTCTTTGCCTCCAAGATCCCTGGAAGATCTTCACAATGATCAATTTAAAATAATCGCACAAGTTCAGCTCGTGCCGCCCTTGTAGTTATCACCGGTTGTTTCCCGGACAAACTTGACCCATCTTCACTGAAACTGCAGGCGACCAATGCTAATATTGGACCTTGTTCTGGCCCGATTGGGGCGTTGTTTAGTTTCTTTGAAGACCCAAGACAACCGAAGAATCTCTGGGTTTACTATAATATCCTAGGAAATGACTAGTGATTTCCAAGAGTGATCCACTTTCTATAGTTCGAGGCCGTCTCGTAAAACTAAACTAAAGCGTGAAACTTGAGAGTGCCATTGGCCCAGCCTTGTTGACTGTACCGTAATTATCGTTAGATTGTTTCGATTACTGCTTATTGGACGATACCCTAGGCTTACGAAGTTCTTGTGTATGCATTTGCAACTTGAAAAAAAAATCCTGCAAAAATTTAAGTTATTTATTTGGTGACCCTAGATATTTTCTAGAAAAAAATCGATTACATGTCACGGCCAAAGTGACGCGTATTTCATTATTCTTCAGCTAATTTACGATAGGTGAAAACATGCATCGTGGAAAGAAATACTCAACCTTCATTTTAACACCGGATTCCGTTTTGTGATGGCAGTGATTACGACGCACAATAAATATACGATACAACAAACACCTGGACACCATAACTTCTGTAAGACCATCGCTCAGCCAGATTTACTTCTTGAAGCCGTAAAATCAGAGACCTGAAGAGTGTTGGTTTTATGTTGTGGTTTCAGCGCGTCTTAGAATATCTTGCTCAGCGGAGGGATCACGGCCACAATATTCGAAGCATATCGGGGCCAGCGATGTTCGTTGCACGAAAAACTCTTAGGTCTTTCAGGAACTTCAGTACAGGATCTTACTGGCATAGGGCTATACAGATATGACAGCATCTTGCTTGAACTCGTGCTGCGACTTGATTGCTGCTGTGTTTGGCGGAGGCCCAGGCGCTATCAGAAATAGTTACGAGTTGATAACTCTGTCAGGTAATAATTGACGGCTTTAAAGATCAGCCTACAATTTATAGGCGATATTTCGGTGATCTTTCCGAGTTATATTCCCGAGAGCAGGGTTTTGAAAGTAAAATCAGATTACGCTGGTCAACTTTGACCTGCATTAGATCACGAAGAGTAAGAACTGAATTTTTAGCTTTGAGTGAATGCGTTCTGCACAGAACACATGGGTTGGCTTTCCCTGAAAACCCTTAAAAAATTTCCTTCATAATAGTTTCGAATAAACTGTGAGTAAATATCCAAAAGCTGCTTCCATGCCTTACAACGGAATGTTTACCGAGCATCGCAGCATTAACAGCAAGATTGACGCAAAACAGAACCGATTTAATTAAATCGAGCCAAGCATTGATTTCTTACGGCTAGGAAAAGTAAATCCGTCGTTTCAATTTTTGCTCAGGAAGCGCCTAAATTCGCAACCAAATTTTTCTTTGCATGTTAAAGCCTGCACCACGAGTGTGGATTTATTTACAGAGAGCACATTAATGGAAAGTGACTTTTCATCATAAGTTTGGTTTATGCACTTGGGTTGCGGATGAAACGGGGAAATTCCATGCCATATTGAACTCTAAATTCTTGATGCTGAAAACTCGTATAGCATTTTTTATAAAATATAAAATTTATAAAATTAAGTGGAGAAATTGTTATGTGATGAAATTGTTATCCTGAAATTTCCGAAGTTTATCATGTCACCTCGTATTATGTTTTCTGATTTAATTGAGAAAATCATGTCGAATTCGTATTCAAAGTTAAGTTCATGAGTTAGAGAAAAAGTTGATCATTATTTTCTTGCACCGTGAACAGCTTACCAGCAAAATATTTGAATATTCTTTTTCATTTTAACGTGAACTGATAAGCGTTAACTTTGGTTTCTTTTTAGGCGACACAATATTTCATGCGCATTGATTTTAAATAGGAGCATTTCGAACTAGCTCCAAATAATTAAAATAATCAAAGGCATGCAGAAAATGCGCAAGGAACGCTTATATTGAGAGGTTGATTATTCTATTTACGTTATCTGTAAAATTCTTTAAAAAATTCAACTATAATAAATGTTAATTCATGTTATTCATTATCATTTTTAATCTTCTTTCAATGACTTAGTATTTGCAAGTTGTACAATTTGGACCATGAAAGACGAAGATTATTGTTCGATTTACCGATTCGTGAATGCGAATGAAAGTTATAGCATTGAAATAAAAATAATTTTTATAATTTTCCATGATATCTGCACATATTAATATCCTTTTGTTATTTTCAATTTTTTACCATTTCCAGCGCAGTTTAGTATTGGTCTTATTTTTATTCTCCAAACAAGAACCGCGGTAAAAATTCGTGAATCTGCTCAGCGAAATTATATTTTCTTGTTAGATCGCTCTTAGCAAATTTTTTGAGAGCGTAAAAATAAAGCCTGCCAGGAATATTACAAATTATTCTTGTCTCAACATTCCATTAAAGTATCACAGAGCGCTTGGGCAGAGACGGTGACTAAACCAATTGTTCTCAAGCGGGCCCCGCTGGTTTAAAAAATTGTTTTTTTTTTCCAATGTTTTTCATGCTGGATTTCTGTTCTCATGCTGGGATTTCTGTTCTAATCGAATCCAAGAAGATTTTATTCGGGATAAGTTTACGCTAGGTTTTTTATTTTTATTTTTTATTTGCTCAACATGATTTTTAAGTGCAGAACAAAGTCAACGCCTCTGACAGCATTTCTTACAATTAATGTTTCAACAATAAAGTTATATATCGTGATCATAAATTGAAATCATTTACAAAATGTCATGTCGTGACAATTGTTAGAGAATGCAAGCTCTAACAATTGTCAGAACTTCATCAAGTACGACATCAAATTAGTTCGACCAGTCAATGAAATGCTGCTATCGCACGTCAACAATTGAAGGAGAAAAGAAAAACATTATAAACTTACACACTTGAACAAGACACGAGTTAATACTGAAAAATCATAGATAAATCTTTTGAATAATAATTATTTATGAGCAAACTGAGCTCAACTACAAACCCAAGGTGCCATATTAAGAAAAAAATTCAAAATCGATTTATAGTAACAAGTTTTCCTTAAATTGGATTTCAAGCCGATAATGTAGAAGTTTACGTTTTAAAATTCATTCCGGAAGTAAGTTGGTCAGATTTGGGGCATTTCTTAAGGCGTATAATCAATTTAATAAGAGTGAGATATAAAAATCATTTTTGCTATCGAAGTCGATCTTGGCAGTACCTGCACTATAACGGGAATTCGTCGTTTCCATCATTCAATGCGTACTTTTTGAATTTTTTCCATAAGCAAAATCTATCAAAATAGCGTGTGTAATACATTAATATTATTTATTTATTTTTTATTAGCTTTTTATAGTAACTCGCGTGCATGGAATGGTAAATATCGGTCAAGTCATCTTCTGAGCCGCTCGTCCGACCAGCTACGACCAGCTCGGTCCGTTGCTGGTTGGTCCGCAAAATTCGGTCCTCTCGTCCGATGGCAACGGCCAGCTACAGCCATGATCGGTACACCTGCGAAAAGCAAAAAATTACGATAAAGAACACGTATCAATAGTATTAAATTCTAACGAAAGAAATAATAACTGAAAAAAATTAAAAGAATATAATCATGCGGCACCTAAAGGTGGAATTAATTTATTCAATCTTTGCTTATTCAATCTTTGCACTTCAATATAAATATTGACTTTTCTTTTATTAATTTGTAAACAAAATATGACCAAGATTGAGTGATATTTAAGTCATGATTGAATGATAATTACTCAAGTCTCCTGCGAATATTATATAGCGACCCGTAAGTAGTTGTAGGTAATTTGGTTGCACTGACTTTATAACCTTGCAATGATATTTAGCAGCATTATTTCATTTTAAACGCCCATAAATAAATATTTAGTTTCTGATGGATGTGGTAATGATGTTCAATTATATCATTTGAATCCAATAATGTTAATTTATATTATTTCACGTCTACGGGGAGTTTAAATTCATCACACATGTCCTCAGCTGACATAGTTTCGATTTGAAATTTGGGTGGACTAGTCTCGGTTTATTAAAATTTTCTAAAATTAATTATTATATAAAATTCGCCTTGTTGTAATTTTTATCGACCTAATTAGTTTAGAATAAATGCCTTGCAGTTATGCTGAAATAAACTACAGTCATGTTTTAGATATATGTGAGAAGTATGAGGTTTTACTCTAACAAGTCTTACTCTTCGGCCGTTCAGGGGCAGAGGGTTGCGGTAGTTGTCCTGTACTGGTTCCCCATTAATGTCTTTCAAAGACCGAAGTTTTTCCAGCTGAAATATATTCTCATTAATCTAATGCAGTGAATCTTTAACTCAATTAGGGTAAGATATCATTATTTGCAGAGCGTTCCATTTTATACATTATCGTTTATTGCCATTAGTCTATCGAACAGAAATAATTATTCGCTGATTATCACAACAAAACATCAACCTAATAGCGTTATTAGAATGTTTCAATTATATTTGTACGAATAATGAAATATCATCACAAACAATGTTAAACAATAGTGATTATTGCTAATGAGTCTATAAATACCTGAGACTTGGAGACCGGCAAAGGCTGCTTGAAGACCGTCCACACGACGACCTCACGACACACGGGCGTCGTGAGGCTGCCTTCGTAGCGGTAATAACTGCTCAGGTCGTCGGGGAGCAGCGACGACAGGGCGTTAGGCTTCGGCACATTCGCCGTGTAATCTTTTGTAACGAGTAAGTTACTTATTAATTTCCTGGTTAAAATAACACTGGCTTATTAAATAACTATGCCTCGCACCATCATATGCATAAAGGGTATTAAAATTATGTATTTTCTATAAGTTTTACATTTCATAGTTTAGTGTTATAATTTAGAGGTATAACGTAAAATGATGCAAACACGTGTGGGATGGAATGAATTTGAGACATGAAGAAAGTCGAACGAATAGCAAGGTTCACGGAGGACAGAGAGATTTCAATTGATCAATGGAAGTCTAAAATTTAAACCTCGAGCTTTAATGTAGAGGCAAAATATTGGACTCGTCTAAAGATGACACTGTTTGCATTTACTGGATCAAGTAAATCAAGGCCCCAGCTCTGGCTTCTACAGAAACAAGTTTAGGATAATTGTGGGCGCTTACTGTTTTCTGTGGTGAGTTTAGAGGTGATATTTAGTAACCGGGTCAGGGCAGGATTGTCGGTACTAGAAAGTTCAAAAAAGATTCCTAGTACCGCCAGGCCTTGACTTGTTTCGAGAGCATCGTCCACCGTCTGGCCTACTAACTTGTGCACGAGGTGGAGCTCCAGAGGGTACCTGGCAATCACAAAATTAAGATTGAGGCATAATCCTGCAGAAGTGATTATTATAAATATGGCAACAATGTCGTCCGTTCAATAAATCACCACTTTAATGGGCTCAAATTTAAATAGCTACAAATATTGCAGAATGGAGAAACGGTAAGGATGCTATAAAATTAAATATAACAGGAATAGAATAGGTAATGAAAAGACTCACTGCACAGTATTTATGGTATGTTCAGATCCCTTGGTATGTTCAGAAAAAAAAAAGATTGAGGCGCAAATCTGCACAAGTGATTATAATAAATATGGCAACAATGTCGTCCGTTCAATAAATCACCACTTTAATGGGCTCAAATTTAAATAGCTACAAATATTGCAGAATGGAGAAACGGTAAGGATGCTATAAAATTAAATATAACAGGAATAGAATAGGTAATGAAAAGACTCACTGCACAGTATTTATGGTATGTTCAGATCCCTTGGTCTCGTCAGACCCCCAGTGGAAGTGGAAGTTCAGAAGCTCGTATGGGGATGAGAGCCCGCCGCTAAATATGCGAGGCTTCCTCAAGTACGCAGGAGTAACTGAAACTTAATTATTATAGGAAATAAATCAATTATTTTTGCTTCATTTGCAGTGTCTGAAACTTATATAATGCAGGAATAAATTAATTTGATGCCTGAAATTCAGTGCCTGAAAGTTATAACAGTACATGTATCAATTAGATCAGGTCAGCAGTGAAATTATTTAAAATTAATACTGAAAAATCTAGTAATTTATGGCTATTGCAACTTGTAGTACTCATTAGCACTATTGAGGACAAATTTTTCTCATTACAGTACGTAATTTAGATACTAGAGTCACTAGACCATAAGACCATTCCGTTAACTGTCTGGCCCATTTCATCTAACTACCGATCAGTGTTTATTGGGATCAATTTCGAAGCAATTTTAAGGAAGTCTTGGGCACATAAACACTGCATTGATACTTCTTTTCATATTTTGTGAATGTTAATAATAATAATAAAAAGAAATAAATAGTAATAATAAATTTTACAAATTGAATCATAACTGAAATGTATATTAAAATTAAAAATAATATGACTTGAAAAATACTTCCTGGAAAAATGAAATAAGTAAGCTGTAATTAACATTTATTCGTGATAGAAGAACCATCGAGACGAAAGAGTTATGCAGAAGTTACAAAGGATGAATAATTGTTACAAAAGTAGCACAATTATTTCATGAACAGAAATAAAAAATTAGTGACCAACATTATCAAGTTGATCTTAAAGAATTTGGGCATGAATTGTTCATCGCAGGCGACCAAATGTTTGTACATTAAAACAGTTGACGTTTTAATCATAGTTTTTACATAACATACCAGTTTTAACATAACATAACAAACTGAATTAATTAGTTTTCTTACGAGTGTGGAAGTTGTTTTCAGCCGTCATGGACGTAGGTTCCACGTCGTAGCCACTGAATTTCAGAGGCAGCAAAGTGCCCAGCCACTTCCAGGAGGTTTCCCGCGTCGGGATATTGATGGGCGACTGGCGATAGCCAGCGCAGTATTTCGGATATTCCTCATCCCAGTTATCTTTTGCTGAAAATTATAAAAATAAATTATTCGTATTATATTGACCATATTTGTTGCAAATTAATATAATAATCAATCAATTAATAATAATAATATATTGTATCTTCATTATTGTTGATATTTATGCTTAGAAATTCAATAATTGTAGCCAAATTTTTTGTGGCTATTTTTACTGGATGCAATTGTATTCTAATAAAGAACTGCGTATTGTTTGTTGATGAGGCCTTACTGTTGTACCATTTGATTTAGCAAAATATATCGCATTCTTTTTTCCCTTCAAAAGACAATAGAATCTTTGTTCATTTTGATATGAAACAAGTTCATTTCGAAGTACTGCAGGGAGCAATGATAAAATTCAAAATGTGCTTCATTTATTGGCGTTGTCATACTCACTGGAATAGCTCCATTTACTGGCTACCGCTCCTGTGAGAAATAAAAATACGTGGAATTAAAAATATTAAAAAAATTCCGAATAAAAGTATATATAGGCAAAAATATATTAATAGAACTATTCACTAATTATCTGCAAATGACTGCAAGAGAGAAGAGAAAATTCTGTCAGATACTGCAAACGAAAGTATAACGTGATTTCATTTGTGTGTGTCTGATGTGTTTAAAATTAATATCGTGACTGGTTGGATCATAAATCCAAAATCAACGTAAAAAGCCCATAGATTTTATTTATAAATTGAAAATGAACTCATTTTAAGAAATTCCAGTCATACAGGTATTTTTTCTCAATACTGAATAATCGATTACTCCTTTTAAGTTAAAGTAAAAACATCACGTTTCATTTAACAAGTAGACCAGAAAGTTCATAGCATCGAACTTATTTCGATCAAACATCAAAAGATAAGACTGGACATCGACACAGCAATCACGGTGAGGTTCGTTCATCCGATGCCGTACTATCGTAAGTCACTTAAATACACGTAGCGGCCCATGTACACGTAGCGGCCCACGTACACGTAGCGGCCCATGTACACGTAGCGGCCCATGTACACGTAGCGGCCCATGTACACGTAGCGGCCTATTTCTCGTCAGTGATTGGCGGGTTTTGCATGAAAAGAAGTCAGTGATTGGCTGACAGCGTCTAGAACTCGTAACTATTTATATAGTTACCAGGGCGGCATTTCAAAGGCGGGTGAATCCTTATGCTACAGCTATGGTTCGGATGAACTTCACGCAATTCGTAAAGTTTTCTCCAGCGAAATTTCCCGCACACTTTTTATAACACTTCTCTTTAACTTCATTTCTTATTGTTTGTTTGATTGTCTGTTTGCTGAAAATCTTATAATCGATATTTAACCCTTTTCTACCTGTTCAATCGATCTGAAATTTCGCGCACTGCGTAAATTCGGAGAAAATGCTTGAATCGATTGACAGAATAAATAATAAGAAATTAGAAGAAAATGCTATACATTAAAAAAAATTTAAATATTTTTTTAATATTCAAAAAATAACTAAGAAATTGATTATTCAGTGATATCGGAGACACTGGCCTCTTTAGAGGTGTTGTCTTTAACAAGTAATTTTGAGACGCACATTATTTCACTCAAAATAATAGACTGAGTTTTTTTAATTTTGACATGAAAAAAGTTCATTCCGAAGTACTGCAACTAGCGTAGTTTAATTTAAATTGTACTTTATGTACCAGAATTGTCATACTCACTGAGGTAGCTCCATTGGCTGGCTGTCGCTCCTGTGTGGAATAAAAAAATATTGTTAAATAAACTGTTGTGCAAGCAATAAAAAATTATTGTTAAATAAACGGTTGTGTAAGCAATAAAAAATTATTGTTAAATAAACTGTTGTGCAAGCGTCAACGAAGTGATGGAATATTGCATCGATCTACGTGGATTCAACATGACTGATGGACTGAAAAAATTACATCGTAAAAACTGCGCTTCGATGAAAGATTTCTTTAGATAATTTCGCCTTTACAATCACAATATTAAATTCCTTCCCGCAATTTGACTCGAGTAGAAATTCCAATTGCATTCATTCTCTGAAATAGTGGCATATTAATACAGAAAATATTTAATCAGACCTGATAATTTTATGTTAAGTACTATCTGATGGTGAAAAATAAGTTAAATAATGCTGTAAGTAATGTATTCACACAAAATAATCTCTATTAAACTAGTATCAAAAATGTCCCCAGAGCTTCATGTGTCATGAGATGAACATGTGTCATGTGTCCTGAGCGACACGTGACACATGCATGCTCTTTCACACACGGATAAACACGTGCCGACACAACAGGCTTTTTCTCATAAATATAAAAGTATTATGTAAAAAATGTAATTATTTCAATGAAATCTGATTACGGAACAAGCCTTCTACTATAGATATAATCAATACCTTTCAATTACGGAACGAAAAACGTTCTTCACTTGCATCCAACTAGACAATCAGACTGGACAACAGGCCTCAACAATTCGACTTACCAGCGAATATGATGAATGAAATAAAGCTTGGTAGAAGTAATGCGACCATCTCGGTTGGCTGTTGTTGTTGGACTGACGATCGCTATAACGTCTGTTCAGATCGTCGGTGGCTATGCAGGTGCCCCGAAAAAATGCAGTTTTACACGTGCATTTGAACATCTGTTCATATCGTCTGTAGCTATGCAAGTGTCCCGAAAAAAATTCAGTTCCACGCGTGCATTTGAAATGTTCTTCCGGTGTTCGTCAAATTCAATGCCTCCACTTTACGTTGATAAATAATACTAACATTTTATCAATTCCTGGAAGATTACAATACTTGTTACAGTCTTATTAGCAATATTATGAAGCATAACAAAATGTCAATCCAAAATATTCAAGATTTGTCACTAGTATATTTCTCGAAAAATATTTTGAAAATTACATATGTGACTCAAATTCATTATCATGAGCAAAAATCAGCAATTGAGTATTGGTGCAATTTTCATTAGAACATTTCGAGTGATATCGTGATATCAGCGATGTTTGTGTGAATATATGAAAATATTTATTATACACAGTCCTACACTATGCAATGTTACTGTTATGTAATGATAATTTGCGGTGTTATGCACACAAAAGGTACAAAGTATAGAAATGAAAACATACAGTCTTATGTCTTGACAACATTCAGAGTGTTATGCTGACAAAATCAATGATATATAGTGAAGCAATATAATTTCGTATTGACTGCTTATTTATAGTCTTCATGCATACTCTTGGGTATCTTTATAAAATTTTATGAGTTTTCAAAAATTTGCCCAGCATCGCAAATATATAGAGGCTGTTGGGGCGCGTTTTCACGGAGCTTATCGTGTCGGTAAATACCGAAACCTGAAATTTTATAATTAGAGGGGGCAAAAAATTTGATAGAAAAAAATTGAAATTGTGTTCTGCAATTGGTAAACATAAATTTTGTTTCTAGGACGCAAGATAGTTTATTCCATTTTTTTTGCAAACTATATATGGTAAACTGGGAGTCCTATCTTCCATGTAGAATTTGAGTTTTATGTCATCTTTATTTTATCACAATACATAAGTGCTTATATCATTAGCCTGCATAAATCGCAAGTTCACTACGAATTCTTGCTGATTACAAACAAAAGCTTTATTAATATTTGAAGGATTACGGGTATGAAGGCGATAGGGATTCCATTTGGATACTCTATTTGTATTTGGGATAGCCTTAATTAAATATCCCAGATTTTCGTGAATTATGAAGCACGAGCACTGCCGCACTAACGCCGCACTAACCTGTTAGGTATGATACATGTATATTATAGCCAGATAGAGCGCATATTAAACGAAAATTTCGAAATAAAACCGATAGACTTTATATAAGATAAAACGACCATGAATCAGTAATTCCTAAGATAGAAAAACTAAAAACTGTTGTTTAAGAGCCATGACAGCGACAAAATATTACATCGCTCTACGTGGGTGCGGCAACATGAATTGACGCAAAATATTGCATCGCAATGACATCTTTAGAAGTCCGCGCTCCAATGAAGGATTTACTTTAATAATCTTGCCTATGCATAATTTCATACAATCATCTCGTAGTTAATGGAATATGGAAGAAAATTTAACGTTGAGAAAATTTATTGAATTAAGTACCTTGAATTTTTCCTTGAAAATTTAAATCTTCAAAGTTGGATTCTTGGAGCCGGGACGGTTTGATAATTGCACCAAAATCAAGAGCCATGCGAGAGTAAATTGCTGGAACCGCGTCAAGAGGTATAATAACAGCAGAAAATCATATAAAAATGAACAGTTGGGCCGCAACCAGCTATACACCAAGGCTTGGTTCATATGTAAAAAAGGGTTAAATTAAAAGAATGTATTTTAGAAGAAAAAGTAGAATCATTAGAAAATTGAACGTAGTAAATTCATGAAAGGTTAGATTAAACTAAGTCTAATTACCTGAGATCATATTGACACTCGGTGTGCTAACGCACTTATGCAAAGAAATTAAATTGATTATAGAAGAAGAAATCAGTAGAAGCTGGATGAGTCAGACGGAATTAAAGTAATAACAGTCGAAGATTAGTTCGTTAAAGTAAGAATAAAGTTATAGCAATTAGGCGTAAACGCTAAAATTGAGCTTGAGTCGGAGAAGGATCCGCTCTAAGTAAATAATTGAAGTTGAATTTTAAGAAATCATATAAATGATGTATGAAGCATCATACATGATAATTAAGCATAGATTTTGAGCGAACTTAGCAAAAAGAAATGAAATTGGGCAGCAAACTAAGGAATAGATAAATAACACAACAAAGAAGATAATTAGACTTAGGGTTGAATGCTGGTGGAGGCGCGGCGGCAGACTATACAAGCTGGCTGGAGATCACGAAACAGGCTCTGTTACGACGGTGTATACGTGCTGAAATCCGGCTCAGACCTAAGCTACCCTAGCATTAAACTTACCCTAGAGAGAACTAAGACTTTAAACTTATTCTAGCGAGGCAATGTTTAAGAAATGAACAAAATTAAGCAATTAAATTCCCAACACAACCACACTATAGTAAATTTCTTCCCTACAAGTTGATTTCAATAAGGAATTCTACGCACTCTTTTTCTGAAGAAATGGCTTACTATTACTAAAAATATCTTGTGGGATGTGAAGTATTTATATCGTATATTATCTGATGTCGAATGATTAGTTTAAATAATACAATGAAATTTATGTCCTTGCACATAATGAGCTGCGCCAACATAGTAGCAAAAATGTCCCCAGAGCTTCATGTGTCATGAGCTCAACATGTGCCTTGTGTCCTGAGCGACACGTGACACAAACAGACTTTTTTACACATGTCACAAACACACGCAGAATCAACAACATACTTGCTTTTATCTTTTTATAGAAATTGCATCTAAACAATTATCTATTTTCCTCGTTATTTGTTCATTTTCCTCGGCAGATGGTATAATTGGAAGCATAAATCTCTAAATTGCTGACAAGATAAAGGCTGATGTTCATATTACTGTATCGGGTTAAGTGATAGAAAGCGAATACAAATTAGGTGCAATAAATAAAAATGTTCACATGGTATTTAATGACAACTTTACATACTGGATCATATGAAATTTCCTGCTTCTCTTGTGCCTAGAAAATTGAATTCTCCAGACGCATGAGATCAGGATCAAAATCTCCATTATGAACTATGTTCAGATATTAGTACACTATGTATTCATTCTCTATGCAGGGACCACTGAATGAAAATTCGATTGGCACTTCTAGATAGAGTTCGTTGGCTTAGGTCGTGCAGAATGACTAATGATTGGGACGGCAATCCATCGTTGGTGTCACAAACACTTCCGAGATATGATAGCTCACTAACTTACGAAATTATATAAACTAACAAGTTTAATAAAACAATGACAGTATAGCTTGAGCATCTTACTATGTTTTTACCCTGAGAACTGGTGTTAAGTTGTAATATTACCATGGACAGGCCTCTCCGCTCAAAATCATGTTCTAAGACTCACTTTCTACGACGCCAGATTATGACAAAGAAAGAAATGAGGAAATTGGTTTCAGAAACAACGACTTTAAATTCGTGTGAAGACGTTTCAAAGTAATTGATTGCCACTGGAGACTTCATTGAACCATCGAAACGTGCTCAATTCGAATAAATTAAATCTTAAACCCGGCACCTTAAAAGTTCATTGCCCTTTGTCAATAGTAATGCTGACTTTGCCCAAAGACGTTTTCGAAAAGGTTCTCACTGTAGACACTTTTCTCAGTCCTAAAACTATTTAGGAGGTATTATTCAGTTGATTGAGGTGTTGCTCAATTTTCTTGACTTGCAAAAAGACTTTGATTTCGCAAAGTACCAAATTGTTTCAAGTACTCTGTAGTTTTTGTATAGACTATATAGTTTGTAGTTTCTTTAACTTGAATTAGTCATTTCTCACGATTAGAGTTTATACTATCGTACATTAACATTAACAAACTTGTAAACTATTACCGCTGGCTCAACTTAGAAGTAGCTTCAAATCGGTGCAACGAAGCTTTTTTGCATCAAAGTATTGAATAACTTACCATTTCTTTATAAAAAACGACGACTTCACTTAAATATCCTGCTGCTAAAAATAAATTACTTTCTAACTTCCAAATTACTTATTTATTCGTGTCCTTTTTGTTCTTGGATTAAATTTAGTTATTTTCTCATAGCTATGCACAATGCTCACCTCGTGGATGGAGGACTACGTA